CAGTGGTATCTTTGTGCTGTGCTGCTCGTCATAACATGCCTCAGCGGGAAGGGGACAGACCTTGCCTGGAGAGATAGGATGGAGCTGGCCATGGCCCCAGCTCCCCATCCATGGCTGTGTGCATAGCTGGCAGCAGTGTGGGATAGCTGTCCCACTTCCATCCTCGCATGTCCCCCTGACCTCACATGTTGGCAGCACTGGAGGAAATGAAGCCACTCTTGGGCTGTCCCGTTAGGGTTTTCCATCATGTCAGCCATGGTATTCAGAAGCAGCAAGGACTTTCTCCAGACATCCAATTGGGGCTGCCATGACAGAGGGGACCGGGAAGCTGCTTGAAGATCTTCTCTTTCTCTTCTAGGCAGCATGACAGTCCCTTCAGCTGCGTTGAGCCTCCCTGCACCATTGCTCCTCTTTACTTCCCCTCTGCCAGGCTGGACTGACTGTGCTGGAGGACAGTGCTGTGCCGGTCTGAGGCTGTCAGAAGCTTTCCCGTGTTCTTCAGAATAATGAGTCTTGGGAGCCCTGTTTGAAGGAGCAAAACTCTGTGAAGCTGAGGAAGGCTGTGAGCTTCTTCAGAGGTGTTTTATTCCCCCTTTAGGATGCAATGTGGGTCCTACGGCAGACTGTGCTGCTGAGGTGGGGTGGATGGTGGTGTTTAACCTCCCACAGAGCCACCAAGAGGCAATCCCAGGGGAGAGGAAGGGAAGGACAAGGAGCAGAACCACAAGACAAAGGAAAAAGCAATATCCCTCCTCTCCCAAAAACCAGAGAAGGAGTAAAAGAGATGGAGGGAAAAACATGGAGGCAGAGAGACCATGCGGACAAAGGAGTGAGGTGACCCCATCCATCCCACCCAGCATCACCACTGGTGGCAAAGGCCAGGCCTTCCCTTTGCAGACCAGGTTATAGAAAACCCACACGCTGCAGGCTGCCGGGGCAGGGTACCTCCCTCAGACTCCAGCAAGTTAGTTACACGTAGCTTTCCTTCCATAAATCCATGTTGGCTGCCCCTAATCAAATTCTGCTTCTCAAGCAATTTCTCTTGCTAATTCCTCCCGAATCAGTTCTAACCCACCTATCCCCCTTGTCGCTAAGCTAGCCAGCCTCTAATCGCACGCTGTGCTGTGTGATCCTTTCACGAGTGATACAGGGTTCGGCACTTTCCCCTGGTTCTCAGCAGCCTAACCTGTCAGGAGCAACCTTCTAAAAATATCACTAAAGACCTCAGCTAATTTCTAATCCTCGTTTCTATTAAGACGGCTGCCTGTACTATGTGGGTTTCTAGACTTGGGATTTACAGTCTTCCTTAAGAGCGACTAATCTGCGCAGAGCCAATTCTGTTGTTACCCGTAGGCAAACTCCTCCCTTCCCCACCATAAAACACGTCCCTTTGGCAGCAGCTCTCCAGTCTGCAGGGCAGCATCTGCCAGCCAGTGAGGACACCAGTCTCTCCCTCCACACCTAGCTCACCCCACCGCTTCTCAGCAAGCCTTCCCGGGGAGATCTCTGGGGTTCTGGTCCTCTTGGGTGCTGGGTGGGTGCTTTGTATGAAAAAAATCAGGGAATTACAGGAAGCAGTTCTGCGTCTAATAGAAGTTTGAACTGAATGACCTAGAAGGTCTCTTCTCACCCCAGTCTCCAAAGTCTATGTGTCTTTAACCATGCCGGGCAGAGGGGCAGGACTTGCTCCACTTAGCACAGCATTGCCTTTCCCACTGCTCCCAGACCTGAGCTGGGATCTCCCTGTGGGGCAACGTCACATCCCCAGGGTGTCCCCAGGGTGGGTTGTGGTGCTCCCAGCACGGACATGGCACGGCTCTCTGAGAAGACCCCATGCAGCAAGCACAGCAGCGGAGAAGATGAAATTTGAGTTTGCCCTTCGCAAACCAAAGACCGGTGGTGGACTGCAGTGCTCTGCAATCGCAGTTCTTCTTTGGAGGAAGGGCTTTAAACGAGGATCTTTGGTAATTTTATGGGTCCAGGTGGGAAAATCAATACGCTTGGGAAGGCTTGGGAAGAGCGCCTGGCTGATGATGTGGTGTCATTCAATCCAGCAGGATTGTGCTGCTGGGCAGACCATAACACTGGTGTGGCCGGCTGTAAGCTGGCATGCACAGCGGGAGTCACGCGAACGCTGTGTGGCAGGGTGACGTGGAAGACAGATGAGTGGCACGTGCTATGCCCAGTCACTGCCGGCCTTCCTAAAGCTCCTCTTCCCTCTCATAGCTCCACTCAGCATCTGAGTCATGTGCTACAGGGGAAAGTCAGGTGTTTTCCGGGGAGAGCGAGGCAGAACAGCATTTTTTCATTTCTCAATCTGTAACAAACGTCACTAAATCAACAGCCCTCACCTCCTCCGTGTGAGGGCAGTAGCATTACACACAGTCAAAGATCAACATTTCTAAACTACACCTTGATCTTGTGGTGCCTCATTAAAGTAAGCCAAGCATTTAAAGACAGAGACCAACTGGGTAACTTTTTATCCAGTTGACTTCTGCAAACCCACAGCTGCTGCTGAGGCTTGTCCACTCAAACCAGTGAGCACAGTCCACTCAAACCAGTTGCAGTCCACTGAGCCTTGTCCACCCAAACCAGCTGGCATATGCCAAAGTCCTGCAGCAGGGCCCTGAGTATCACCCTGCTGTGATGCAGACACCCTCTCTCACCGAACTCTCTGCATTTATTTTAAAGTTTGGACATAACATGAGTGAATCATCATGACCCAGAGGGCTGCAGCAGCCTACGCACTGGTGAAAAGCCTACATCCAGGTGGAGACCAGTGACGAGTGGTGTGCCTCAGGGGTTGCTACTGGGGCCGGTGCTGTTCAATATCTTTGTCGGCGACATGGACAGTGGCACTGAGTGCACCCTCAGCAAGTTTGCCGACGACACCAAGCTGTATGGTGTGGTTGACACGCTGCAGGGAAGGGATGCCATTCAGAGGGACCTTTGGACCTGCAGAAACCGCGTGAAGCAACAAGGCCAAGTGCAAGGTGCTGCACGTAGGTTGGGGTAATCCCAAACACAAGTACAGGCTGAGCAGAGAGTGGCTTGAGAGCAGCACTGAGGAGAAGGACTTGGGGGTACCGGTGGATGAGAAGATCAACGTGAGCCAGCAATGTGCACCTGCAGCCCAAAAATCCAACCGTATCCTGGGACGCATCAAGAGAAGCATGGCCAGCAGGGTGAGGGAGGGGATTCTGCCCCTTTGCTCTTGTGAGACCCCACCTGGAGTCCTGCATCCAGCTCTGGAGCCCCCAACATAAGAAGGACAGGGATGTGTTGGAGCAGGTCCAGAGGAGGGCCATGAAGATGATCCGAGGGCTGCAGTACCTCTCCTATGAGGACAGGCTAAGAGAGTTGGGACTGTTCAGCCTGGAGAAGAGAAGGCTCCGGGGTGACCTCAGAGCAGCCTTCCAGTACCTGAAGGGGCCTACAGGAAGGATGGAGAGGGGCTTTTCACAAGGGTGTGTAGTGATAGGACAAGGGGGAACGGCTGTAAACTAAAAGAGAGCAGGTTTAGATTAGAGATTAGGAAGAAATTCTTCCCCATGAGGGTGGTGAAACACTGGCCCAGGTTGCCCAGAGAAGCTGTGGCTGCCCCCTCCCTGGCAGTGTTCAAGGCCAGGCTGGACGGAGCTCTGAGCACCCTGGTCTAGTGGAAGATGTCCCTGCTGATGGTAGGGGGGTTGGAACCAGATGATCTTTAAGGCCCCTTCCAACCCTTACCATTCTATGGTTCTATGAAAAAATGAAATAAAAATGGAAGAGCCAAAGGGCTGAGACACCCCGGTGTCCTCTGGAGCAAACCACCTGACACGGGCTTTTCAGGGGCATTCTCCCACGTGTCCTTACTTGACACACGTGTCCCACGGCCACAGCTGCCCTGCACTTTCATCCCTTTATGCGCCTGTACAACAGGGTTTTCACATCAGCAGGGCAGCTGGGGAAGGGACATCACCCCCTGGAGAAGCTGGGGAGGCCCTTGTCTTCGTCATCACCCACGCTCTCACCACCACCCTACACTCATCTCCATGCCCTCCCCCACGCCCTGTTGCCTCCCCTTCTGTTCCGTGTCCCAACTCCATTCCTCACTCCCACGCCCATTCATCTCCACGCCCATTCATCTCCACGCCCATTCATCCTCACGTCCATACCGTTTACCCGGTCCCCTGCCCAGACCGGCCCCGCCCCCGCCCATGACTGCG